ATATTATTCCTGTGATGGTAAAGTTGAATTTTCAGCATCATTACTCCAGTTTTCAGTGTCAGGTGATCCTTCAGAAATTATTTTAATATGCTGATTTAATGCTTAAGAAACATTTATTATGAACACTGTTCAAAACAGTTGTGCTGCTTAATATTTTTTTTGTGGAAACCATGATACAATTTTGTCAGGATACTTTGATGAATAGAAAGTTCAGAGGAACAGTGTATATTTGAAATCGAATTCATTGCAAATGTCTTTGTCACTTTGATCAATTTAATGCATCCTCGCTAAAAGAAAAAAAACCTTTGGAATGGTAGCGCTACATCTAGCGTTCATGGGTTACTGTACTCTACCTTGCGAGAGAGTGGTGCTGGGATACGCTGACTCTGGAAGCTGATAGGTGGGTAAGGTTGGCATGCCAGTTGGTGGAAACCCTCCAGGCAACAAGTGGTTGAATGCTGCCAGCTGATTTGCTCCTGCTTGTTTGCGCCACCTTGCTCTTCGGTTGCTAAACCAGACCTAATTAAAGATGGAAATAAGATATTATTTTATTTTATATTTTATTTTATTATTTAAAGGGAGACTGACAATTGTGTAGAGACAAATATCCCTTTCCAAGCATGATTTCATTCACATAGCATGCAGTTGAAAGCGATCAGCAGTCTTCCAGACAGGTTCATGGGCATGTGTGTGGCAGAGAGAGTGTCCTCATGGGAAACTGCCTCTTAGCACATGTTGAGGTCCCTGTTGTTCTAGTTAAGTGGCTAAAGCTGTGATCTGTATAAACAGGCCCCTCTGGGCTGCCATCAGAGACGAGAAGTCGTAAACAGGTCAGAGGTAGCCCACACATCTCCACAGACATCTCATCCACATCTTGAGTATGTTTATCTACCTGTACGACACTTTAAAGAGAGTCTAGAGCACTTTTACTGGAGCGGTGTTGTCTGATACACATGGACACATACACACAGAGACATCTGTCACATCTTTAACATACTGTTTCATATCAAGCTACTTGAATTAACTGTTTGGCTTCACTAAAATAATGTAGATAAAATAAATGAAAAATACTTTTAAAAAATCTAATGTTTTGATTTGACTTTATAGACAAAAAGTACTTAACCTCCTTTTGGGCTTGGTTCAATTTGACCCACATTTAAACTACTTGAAATTAGTTGAAGTAGATTTGATTGTTCTTGAAATTTTGAGATTTTCTCTCATTTAGGGTGCATGCAAATTTTGACACACAGATGTGTTTTGAAGAGAAAAAAAAACTATATAAAATTGGATATGCGATATATTTATTCACATACATACAACATACTCATTTGAAACAATACATAACTATATAGCAAATCTTTACCATCATTGCATAATGTAATTATATTACCATCCAGCTCTTTATATAGTTTGATATAGAATGTCCAACTTTATTTGTCTACATACAATGCTATCCACTACATTGTAAAAATTAACATCATGATCTTCTGTAAAGCTGCTTTGAAACAATGAGTATTGTGAAAAGCACTATATAAATAAATTTGACTTGACTTGACTACTGTAGCTTGTCAAAGACTAAGACTAATTTTTAAACAAATCGAGGACCTATTTTATTAAAACAGCAGCCTTTCCACCATTAGGAGCGCAAAAATGGCAAAAGAAAGAAAGATGCTCAGTGTTTACATTATTGAAATGCATTTGTTACTTGTCTTTTTTTTCAGTGTTAAAATTCTTTTTTGTTTTAGTCGGACCAAAATAAACGCCCATTCAAACCAGACAGACTTCAGACAGTCGTCTCAAAACGAGGACAATTTGCACATTTTAAACGGAGGCTTCTCTTCTATCAAAACATGAATATAATTAGCGTCTCTGAAAGCAGCCTGCTCTATTTCACAGGAACAAGACCGGAGCCCTGCGTATGTGAAAGGTTGGAGGACATTGATCTATGCCATGCACTGACAATTCATCCGCATTTAATACACTGTCAGGGCAGTTCATCTACCGTTGTGTTTAAAACGGGCCGGTCCATTGTGCGTCCAGATGAAAGGTGGAGACAAAGGCCTCTCAATACACCAGGCTGAAAAGTGTCCACAAAGAGTGGGCGTCCCTTTTTAAACGTGCCTTTAAGAGCTCCACTTTCATGGTACGCACACAAGGACACACTCTGTTCTGATGCAACCACACTGTAGACACAATCTACAAAACACATACACACACACTCGCTGGCTCTTTCTTACAAAGCGTTGCTTACATTGTGCATGTGCAAAACTGTCAGGCCACTAACAGCTAGCATCTCATTCAAATGACTTCAATGGCTCGCCAGCGTTTGATGCGACTAAAGATGACTCTTACCCATCTGTCATGCGTCGGGTTCGAATCGCTCTTTCTTACGCTCTCGGAAAGTGAAACCCCCACCCGACCGTCATCCTCTCAAATGGTTTAGGAGGAGACGCTTCGCCCCTGTCCTGAGCCTAAACCTGGTGTCGTAGACAGATAAAGGATGGCCTGGCGTTCTGAAGGAGCTCGGGGAAATGCATGTGCTGGGATTCGTACGGATCTTCTACTGGGAATCGTGCAAACAGGTTATGAAGAATGGAAGAACGCTGTGTCCTTCCCCCACAAACCAAAAAGTGTCCCGCTCCGCTGTGCCTCCTGACCTTTGACCTCTGGACCCTGCTCTCCACCCCTTCATACTTTCATCCTGATGGCCTCTACCTTCTTTCTTCTGCCGCAAAGTGCAGATACGTACTTCTGTGACATCAGCAAGGAACATTTAATAGTTCTGGCATTTCATTCAAGACTACAGGCAAAACTTTACAGTTTTATTCCTATCAATATTCTCAGGGTTTTTACTAAAGGGTGTGTTCATATAATATTCACCAGTTTTTTTTTAAATTAAAAATATAATGTTTTTTTTCTGTCTGTTGACAGTGTTTTCTAATTTATGGCATGATAAAAAGAGAGTATCACCATAGTTTCCCTAGTTTATTAATCATAGTACATTAATACAACTAAAAATATGCAAATAATGCATTATCTAACTAAATATGCACTCATTTGCATACATTTCCACAACAGAAACTTGAACATTTGAAAAAGTCGGGGTCAAAATTCTTGTTGACAAAGTATAGCTTAAGTTTGAGAATTTTGGATATCTCTTTTTATTACTCCATGTTTTTTTTAGGAATAAAATGTCATATAAATTGAATGATATACGAACAAACACCTCTGTAAAATCCTTCTGAATTTAGATATAAATAAAGCTTGGTGTATGTAAGTGCTGCTAAAGTTTACATTTCAAAACTCAAAGAAATGGCCTTTAAAAATATGCATTGTAAATGAAATTGATAGACACAAACCGATAAAGTGTAATAAAATAAACACTTAAAAGTGTATTTTAGATCGTTTCTTTACACTTGTCTGAAAGAAGACGTGTTATAGAAGCAAAATAGTCTAAAATGTCTAAATTAACCAGTGCATGAAAAACAATCTTTTTGTCTGTAGTGTCTTGCCTTAAGAAATTTCGTTCTTAAGATTTTTGTGAAATCTTTAAGCCCAAGTTCATTTACACTCGTCACTTTTGTTTGCGATTTTTCTACAGAAAGCAAACTACTATCGCTTTAAATGGCTTGTTTCTTCTCTGGCTTTTTGTTTAATCTCTCATCCTCACACATAAACTAATCTCTGCACATGCATTGCCACACAATCTGTAAAATGCATAATGCTATGACAATTCATAAAGAGATTTGGGATACATTATTCTCAGAGAGCTGCCTGCATCCCTGTGGTCAGAGCACTTACGACGCAGCCAGCAGATCTTGTGGCTTTACCATGTGCTCGGCGAAGACTCCTGTCTGCCTTAATCACACCAGCAGCCTGTGAGGCATATCTGTTTAAGTGAATTTGCTGCTTTTGAAAGCAATGTGGCGTCACAGAGGTGCACGAGTTAACTCTATTAAGTTAAACACTAAGCACAATATGCCTAAATAAATACAGTTCTGTTTTATAGCACAGAGGGATGCGTCATCATAGTGCCTTGCTGAGAATATGTGTGTGTGTGTGTGTGTGTGTGTTTTCTGGGTTGCTCCAGTCATACCCTCTGAGCTGGATTTGGAACCCAATCACAAAGTCACCTTGAACAGTCCCAGATTCCCTCTCTTGCTGTCTGCAATCCAGCCTAATTCCTCCACTGAGACGGTTTACATCCAGCCCACAGCAAAACCACATGAGGAAGAACTTACTGTCCACTGACAGCAGTTCTTAGGGAGAATGCTGAAACAATAGGGCTGATACAGGATAAACTGCTTGATAAATAAATTAAAAAAGTAAAGAAGTATGGTTAATGTTGGGGTATGCATTTGAATACATTTGCACTTTTTTTTTTTTGGGAAGGGACAACTCCCCCCAAAATGATAATTATGCATTTTATTATCTTTTATTTAATTCTATCTCACTCTGAATGAGTGTGACAAAAAATAAAACATTTTTAATAATCTCTGTCTTTTCTGAACTTTTTCAGTGTCTTTTCTAACTTTGCATTCAGTGAAAGTCAAGCCACATTTATTTATATAGAGCTTTATATAATACAAACTTTCAAAGCAGCCTCACATTAATAATCAGGAAAATAACAGTGTTAAAATGAATCAAAACAACATTTCAGCTCTATAAGACAAAAGTGTAATTATTTAGCTCAATTTAGTTTAAGTTTTGTTCTCATCTGACAGTGTAAGTGTTAAATCGATAATATTGCATATTTATTGTCTTATAAACCAATGTTGTTTTAGTTCAGTTCAATAACAGTGTTAGCGCTGCAAAGTTCAACAATTATGAAACAACTTCTATTCAGCTGTACAACAGCTCTACAGAAGACACTAGTGTCATTATTCAGTTCAATTAGCTTTATTCTCATCCAATAATATCACTGATTATCAATTGTCTTTTAAACACCAATGTCAGTGAAAGTCAATAGGGTTCAATATTGCTTCTTATTTTGGTACTGCAGAAGCAAGTCAGGTTTGAAATGGCAAGTGAATTGCGTGAGAGACTGTGTGTGTTTGTCTGATCATGTGTGCATTTGTTTCAATCGTTACAGACTATAAACCCAAAGATGGCGCAATGTCTGGGCTCAGCGCTGTCCCTGTGTCCAGTGAAGCAATCTATGGAGATTTAAGTTTACAGCACACACCTGTCACGGAGAAACGCGATAAACCTGTGTGCACACACACAATGTTTCTTATTCCTGTCTTTTACAGGATGTTTCTTGCACTGCAAGTCCCTTGTTTGTGAGACCGCCGTGTGCACTCAATAAGTCACTGCAAACAGTCGCCCGTAAATCCAAGATAGTGTTGGACACAGCAACAGTCTCGCACTGAAACGTGTTTCTTGTTAAGGAAAATGTTATTAAGGGATGCTTTTAAAAGGTTTCAGGCCGTTCACCTCGTGTTTCAAAGGAATAAACTTTAAACAAGGGCGACATCTGTTTTTATACCAATAGATGCGATTTAACCAACTTCAGTCTAACAAGCAATGTGTTGACTGCATCAAACAATCGTTTTTTTCTCTTTCTTCTAAAGCCCGCTTGAATTCTCTCACTCTCTTTCTCCCCGTCTGGCACTATGCTAATTAACATTACTGGGAACGCGAAATGCAAAAAGGAGACTGGGATTACTTAGATAAGAATCAACGAACACAAAGCAGCTAAAAGAAAGTCATTTAAATTCTAATAATGCGAAACTGTTAGAACATTCTCAGTGATGCATTGCAACAATTTTGCTCTCTACAGTCTTCATAAATCCTATTTATTCTTTTATGGTGCACAAGCTAAGACTCTCTGAAACAGAGTTGCCTGTTGGGCTGGATGGGATTTTTTTTGCTAGCATTTTTCTGGTCTCGGGGAGCAAGGAATTGATGATATATTACATGAAATATTGCCACAGAAATAGCTGGCGTATAAAGTATACTAGTGAAAAATAGATATGCTAAAATGTATTTGAAATACATTTATTTTATGTTAAGTATACTATAAATGCATTTACATTTTTATGTACTTAAATATTAATTTTTATTAAGTACATAAATCAGCTATATCGGAACAACTATTTTTCTACTTAATGCACTTTAATTGTGTGGAAGTAGTGCTGAAGTCCAACTAAAGATATACTGAAGTATATCTGATTGTGCTAAAATGGAATTATTGCAAGTGTACTTACTTTAGGTACTCTTTAAATATCTTGCATTTAAAGACTGGTTTTATTCAAAGCTCATACAGTCCTCAACTAGTGACATTAAAACACATTTTAGGCTTAATATTAAGAAATGTACATTGTGCACAAGTAGTACTCCAAATAAAGTTTAATTATAATTTTTATATCAGTGAGTCTAGAGCGATATGTCAGTAAATATGTTTATAAATTTGAACTATATTTAGTATGAAATATCCATATTTTGAATATATAACTTTTTTACTGGGGTATGTATTCTAAAAAACCTGCAGAGAAACCCTAAAGACACAACATCAAAACATAATATCTTTGCAAACTGCATTAATAGTCAAATCGTCCTGTCTTTCCTAATTAATTAGTCTATCTATTTTTGATAAATACATTCTATGCTTTTTGTATGCTATATCATGACCTACACATCCTCCCTTTTTAGTCAGCTAGCATAAAAATGTTAACATTAAAACACACAACTCACAGGTACATAAAGGCTAACTTCCTGCCAAATTGATTTCTATGCTTCATAAAAGGGAAATATGTCCACCTTATTAGACTGCTACAATAATAGCTGCATGCAAAATGTGCACTGCTTGTGAAAGGGAATCTATGTGAGAAAGGAGGAACACGAGCCAACGGCGCGGCTCTCTTATGACTGCTTACTGAAGTGGAGCCGCCGTAACCTCTTAAAAACTTCAGAATGAATAAGAACAGAATGCAATTCACTCCATCGTGGATGATTTATAACAAGCACCAGCATTTCTGCCACTGTCCACTTTGTTTTTAGCGCTGGTTGAAAACTCTCCCCTTGTTTCACCTAGCTAACGTTTCTTGTTCCACTAATGGTCTGAGTGGTGGCTTGACGTCCTCAGATGTCACATGGCATTTATGTGGTGCTCATTCACCTCATGGACGTAAAGCAGCAGGACTATGAAGCCACAGGGAGAAAGCCTCTGCTAGGCTACATAACCCTGTCACAACCCTTTAACATCCCTGCTACCATCAAACTGAAATGAAACCGGTCTGTGTTAGAACTGGATATGCTAAAGTCTTGGTGAAGATGGTTAGGATGGAGATCAACAAAATGTTAGCTAAAACTCAACCAAGAATTCAAAATTCAAAAGCAAAATTCTGAATTGAGAACCTGGCTTCCTTTCAAATTCATGAGTGTGTATTTGAATTGAATTAGCCTCATCATGCAGGAAGTCCAATTAGAATTACAGGAAGAGGAAGATGAGATGATTAATCTATGTCAGTTTAAAAAAATCTAGTTTTAGTTAATTCTACTTCCTTACAGTTGAATTTGACTTGACATCCTGTTTGCTACCTCAGTTCAAATTCTGGAATTTAAAAAGCATTCTCAATTTAATTCTGAATGGTGCACAACCCTGCTCTCTTTTCTACTTGCCATGCATATCATTGCCCCTAGACTGCAGAAGGAGGGCTGTCTAACATGCTCTGGAGTTGATGATCCAGGGGTGGAGAGGCCCCTCTTTTGGCCCCTGTCTCACCCCAGTGCCCTCTTCTCCACTCCCCAGTAAACTGACATCTGCCGGATGAGTCTGCACAGCTGTGGCGGAGCAGGTCACCAACCGGGTCAAAGGTCTGGTCTCGTTCTGGCCTGGGAGGAATCTCTATACAGAAACCTGCCGACATACCCGAAGCCAAACCAGTGGGAACTTCTGTGAAACACCCCTAATGGTAACTGCATGAAGAAGACCTGCATTCTTGCTATGAAACAGCATGTCATATTTTATTAGAACACTCGAAAAAGTCTCTGACAAAGCAGCTGCCATAAATTGGCATGTATGAGCCCTGGAATGTCTTGTTGGGTCTTGTGCCAAACTCGGACACCTTGTTGAATTAGTGTTTTTGGGTGGGTTAAATGCATTATCAAGTACCCTTTAATGTCAGTCCAATGGGAGGTCAAAGTGTGAGATACGATGAACTGCACTTTTATGAGTAAATCTATGTAAATACTATACCAGGCTGACTCCTTTAACAGTTAAAAAAGTAAATGGCAAAACCACACATGAAATCCCCATTTGGAGGGGGGGGGGCTGCCTTGGGGAGGGGAAGAACTTTCACAATAGACTCTACAGAGAAATGCCACAATCCCCCCTTAACACTAGACCGAGCAGAGAACAATATTGAAGACCCATGGCCAATATTTACTGTGCTTAACCAGAGTCACTTTCTCAGGGTGACCTTTTTGAAAGATTCAGTTTGAGTTGACCTTTGGAGACTTTCAAAGTGTTCCAGAATTAGATTATGAGAAAAACTGCATTAACAAATTATATCCATGACTCAAATACCTCAGCTTTTCACATGATATCTCTTTAACCCTATTATGCGAGAAGGGGGAGATGTGTCCTTTTGGTTATTTGGCCTTGTTCAAGGTTTTCTTTGGGTACTATCTCTTGTCATTTGCCTCAAGAAATGCACAATTGACCTACAAATGTGGCTCATCGGTTGCCATAACATGCTGGAACAGAAGACACTTGTGTTTGACAAGCATGTTGTTTTTCATTGACCAATTAGAGGTGTTTTTTTCACACCCTTGGTCTTATGTTCATTATTATCACAGCTAATATGGATGGTAGAGTTCTAGTTGTTTAACTCTGCACTTTCCCTTTCTTTCCCTTTCGAAATCCCCAAGAAATTTCTATCTTTCGTGATGCTGTTTAAGTAATAATGAATGTTTTTTCATACACTAGAGCTTACCAGACATAAACCTACAATCAATGCAAATCTGTCCCCTGAATACATCATGTGTGAAATATTGTGAGAAAACAAGCGTAGTATAAATCTCTCAAAATTCTCCCAAGAGTGTGGAAGCAACCATTTAGACATTTCTTCCATTTCTTCCTTGAATGCTCAGAGCCAGACAAAGACATATGTTAAATCAGTTGCCCTGCCGATGAGTATGTTCCGGTAAGGAACCTAAGCATAGGTACGGAGCGGGATCTATGGAGGGCGAAGTGAGGATGAGAGTTTGGAGAAACCTAGACCCCCTACCCCCACTTTGCCAAGTCTTTTACAAGCGCTTGATTGATTAATGTTGTTGTCAGGGAGCAGAGTCCCCAGAGAGAACCAGAGGGATCCTTTCTGATATGTAGAGGGATTTACAAGTAGCGGCCAGCTTTCAAGTGCTGGGAAGCGATCGCCGGCCAAGGGAAGAGATGAGAAATCCATCAGGAATGCATTTTGTCTGTTCTTCTTTCTTCCCTTCTCTTTTCCCCCCCATCCCTCTTTTTGTCTCCCACTAGCTCAGAGTGCAGCTGCTGCTATAATTCTACTGTATTTGCTTTGCGATGTTACATAAAACTACAGGGTTCACAAACTGTCAGGAAGCGTCCCGAAGACTCGGGTGAAAGCAATAGGGCAGGGCTCCAACTGTCATCTGACCAAGAGTGATGTACTCCCGGAGGGGAGGGGAGGTCAAACAATTAGTCTCTGCTAAATAAATAAATATAACAAACACCAGCAATAAACAGAGGCATCTAGATGACAAGAGAAGAAACAACTCCAACAGAAGGTCTAAAAGCCAATCAGATACATTCAAGGTCAATTGCAATTGTGAAACCATGCAGGGAAAGTACAAGTATCTGTGCGAGTGAGCGTATCCCACCTGTACACGAGCCTCGGTCAGTTTGGTCCTCTGTGCAAGCTCCTCTCTAGTGTAGATGTCGGGGTAGTGCGTCCTCTCAAAGGCCTTCTCGAGCTCCTCCAGCTGCTCTGCTGTGAAGGTGGTACGGCTGCGTCTCTGTTTCCTTTTCAGGGGCAGGTCTGGCTCTGACTCCACTTCCGAGCCATCATCTGTACGGTTACCTGCATACACAGTTTGGAAATAAGTCGTTGAGAGGCTTTGAACATCGGCACCAAGTCTCGGATGCTTTACAAAATGACAAGTTATTTAAAAAAATTGAATATGTACAGCAACTGAAAATTTCAGCTGTCACCAGTACGATGGCACACCGCGAATTTGTCAACGGAAAATGATCCTGAAAGCCGAGACCAGCTATCATGGCAATATTAATGCTTCCGTTATCTCGATGTGTCAATGGAGCCCTAGATACCTTTTTATTGGGTCTTATTCATATGTGAGAAGTCTTCAGACACATAATCCTGCCACTGAGCCCTGGAGAGGCCTGGGGGACGTAACTGTGAGGGTTAGGGTAATCTACACCAGACACCTTGCTCTAGCACGTCCGCCTTATTCTCTCTGTAGCGGCCTGGGGCTAGCTCCTAAGAGCAAATGTTTGAAATAAGAATGTATGAGACTTCTGGGCCATTGAATCCCTCTCTTTGTGTTTCAAGCTAGTGTTCGAAATATATTACAACATATTTTACATTACTTTTTTTCAGGCACTCAATCAAAGACAAGTGCAGATCGCAGTTGGCAGTTTGCATTTTAGCCAGAGGAGTATTTCCCCGGCACAAAGACGAACACTGCTACGACCGAGCCAAGAGGAGCGTTTGTAAGGAGAGATATGGAGTGCGTTAAGATATATTACTGAAATACATTACCATGATAATTGATTCTAAAATTGCATCATACTTCATTTGTGAGCCACCTCTGTATATCTATTCATGGAAGCAGAAAGCTTGTGAAAGGTCCTGTCACAAAAAATCACACTTTTACATTTGCTTTCTTAAAACACATGAGTGCTAACAAGCAGTGTAGCTTGAGTCTTGCTCCAGGCCCTTTGGTCTTGCATCATCCACGGGGGAAAGACAGAAAGAAGGGCTCTGAGCTCCTTCCCCCGCAACGCCACAGCTGCCACGGCGGAGACAAATCTCCTTTGAGCCATCGTGCGCGGTCTCTGCCCACTGCTGATCAGCAGGTTCCTGCACCCTGGACCACTTCACACAAGTTTTCCAGCATCTCCGTTTTCTTCTGCCAGACCAGAGCCTGATCGTCTCTCTCAAACCCCCATCTGCCAGGTCTCTTCTACGGCTGATAGGCTGCCAGGAAAAGAGGTTACAAAAAGGCCTGTGAGAGTGTGCTAGTGTGTGTATATTAGTATGTGCATGGGCGTGCGAGTATGTCCGTGCGTATCGGCGAATGCATTCTTCTTGGTGCATGTGCGAGAATTGGGTGCACTTGAAACTGACAATCGGGGGAAAACAATCCCCCAGCGTAATGCAACTACCAACAACAAAAAGAACCAAACTGCGGGTCTGCAAGTGTGTTTGTGCATGCTTGCGTATCCATACATGCATTCTTCTTGTTGCATGTCAATTTTCGTGCACCAAATAAATGCAGAAATGAAATTGCAGATTATATATAAAGAACCCAACTCTGGGCGATTAAGTATGTTGGGTATCAACAAATGCATTCTTCTTGGTGCATGTGGAAGTGCGTAGAAAAAGACAAAGAAGAAAAACACCTATATATTGTTTTTAAACCAGGTACCATGATAATTGATTCTAAAATTGCATCATACTTCATTTGTGAGCCACCTCTGTATATCTATTCATGGAAGCAGAAAGCTTGTGAAAGGTCCTGTCACAAAAAATCACACTTTTACATTTGCTTTCTTAAAACACATGAGTGCTAACAAGCAGTGTAGCTTGAGTCTTGCTCCAGGCCCTTTGGTCTTGCATCATCCACGGGGGAAAGACAGAAAGAAGGGCTCTGAGCTCCTTCCCCCGCAACGCCACAGCTGCCACGGCGGAGACAAATCTCCTTTGAGCCATCGTGCGCGGTCTCTGCCCACTGCTGATCAGCAGGTTCCTGCACCCTGGACCACTTCACACAAGTTTTCCAGCATCTCCATTTTCTTCTGCCAGACCAGAGCCTGATCGTCTCTCTCAAACCCCCATCTGCCAGGTCTCTTCTACGGCTGCCAGGAAAAGAGGTTACAAAAAGGCCTGTGGGAGTGTGCTAGTGTGTGTATATTAGTATGTGCATGGGCGTGCGAGTATGTCCGTGCGTATCGGCGAATGCATTCTTCTTGGTGCATGTGCGAGAATTGGGTGCACTTGAAACTGACAATCGGGGGAAAACAATCCCCCAGCGTAATGCAACTACCAACAACAAAAAGAACCAAACTGCGGGTCTGCAAGTGTGTTTGTGCATGCTTGCGTATCCATACATGCATTCTTCTTGTTGCATGTCAATTTTCGTGCACCAAATAAATGCAGAAATGAAATTGCAGATTATATATAAAGAACCCAACTCTGGGCGATTAAGTATGTTGGGTATCAACAAATGCATTCTTCTTGGTGCATGTGGAAGTGCGTAGAAAAAGACAAAGAAGAAAAACACCTATATATTGTTTTTAAACCAGGTAACTGCATACTGTATGTATAAAAGACAAAGCAAGCTATGGTCTTGTGTATTTACACATACATTCTTCTAGGTGTGTGTCAATTTTGGTGGCATCAAAAGTGCCAGTTATCAATAAAAAGAACCAAAATCTGGCAGTGCAAGTATCTTAGTGCATACTTGCATATCAGCAAATGCATTCTTCTTGTTGCATGTGGAAGTACATGGAAATTACAGAACAGACTAGGGTCTTATTTATTCACACATGCATTCCTCTTGGTGCATGTGCAAGTATTTGGTGCAACTACATCAACAATAGAAGAAAAACTCCCTTCCGCAATGCAACCGCTTCAAGACACACCAAACTGCTGCAGTCTCCAGACCAGCTCTGGGGTTTAATTAAACATGGAATTAACGGATTATATGGAGACTATCATTACAGACCACTCGAGCAGTCTTCACAGAATGTCTTTTTGTCTCCCCAAGCTCTGGCTCAATGATTCTCAATGGATTACATGCGACCGCAGGACATGAGTCCGCATTCATTAAATCAATTCCTCCATCTTCCACCTTTTAATAAAGATTTTGCTAGCTCTTCTAGGTGTGTGTCAATTTTGGTGGCATCAAAAGTGCCAGTTATCAATAAAAAGAACCAAAATCTGGCAGTGCAAGTATCTTAGTGCATACTTGCATATCAGCAAATGCATTCTTCTTGTTGCATGTGGAAGTACATGGAAATTACAGAACAGACTAGGGTCTTATTTATTCACACATGCATTCCTCTTGGTGCATGTGCAAGTATTTGGTGCAACTACATCAACAATAGAAGAAAAACTCCCTTCCGCAATGCAACCGCTTCAAGACACACCAAACTGCTGCAGTCTCCAGACCAGCTCTGGGGTTTAATTAAACATGGAATTAACGGATTATATGGAGACTATCATTACAGACCACTCGAGCAGTCTTCACAGAATGTCTTTTTGTCTCCCCAAGCTCTGGCTCAATGATTCTCAATGGATTACATGCGACCGCAGGACATGAGTCCGCATTCATTAAATCAATTCCTCCATCTTCCACCTTTTAATAAAGATTGATTTTTTTTTTACAACACTGCCTGGCACTCCAGCACACGAACAAAATCTTGAATATACAAAGTTGAATATGTACATATCCTGGATATCCCTTTGTTGGTTTTCACGAGGATGCGCCAGAGCGATTTGTTGCTAACACACCATGACAACACTTGAGACTGGCGCAGTGGTCTACGGATCACTTTCCAAAGTCACCTCGGTGTCCTGAGGGGGAGGGAAAGACGTGCCGCTGTGATTTTTGTTTCATTGCACAGTTTCGCCACATGATTCATGAGGCAAGATTCTGTCAGCGTATCCTGCCCTTGTGTCTCTTTGTTTTTTTCTGTCCACACGTTTGATGCATCAAAGCCTTTTCACTTATAATTACAAATGTACTGTAACTATATCAAATCCCACCTCGCGTCTTTTGTATTGAAATATTTTACAAAACACACGTAATCAGTGGGCAAACTCAGAAACAAAACTCAGGTTGTTGTTGTCATTTCACAAGCTCTAGCTCAGCTGTCTTGCAAGCCCAAGACTGAAGGTCAACAGGCCCCCTGACAACAGCAAAGGATTATGGTAATGAAACAGATGCTGGCAGAGATAGAGCAGTGAGAGGGGCATGATACAGGCCTC